GAGGGAGGGGGGAAGGGAGTGATATCTATGAGTTAGGCACGGAGGGGGGGTGCAAGAGAGGTGTCAGGAAAGTGTTTTACTAGCCTTAATTTCGTGTGCTTTCGCAGCCAATATGTCGGGCAGTAAATTCCAAACTTTCCAACGGGTTTCGCGTTTCGGTGTTTCGCGGTTTTAACGACCCCCTCCCCATCCCTTCCTCCTCCCCCTCCTTCTCCCCCTCGGCTCAAGGAGGATACGCTCGCCGTATATTAATCCTGTAAACAAGCATATTTCTCGAAAGCTCGCATTTTCAAGCGCGTCTTCGTCCGCGTTTCGCGGATCCTCCAGAATCTCCCGATTCGAACGAAGCTTGCTTTTCACTCGAATCGACTCGAAGCGAGAAAACACGATTCGAAAACAATATATTCGAATGGCGTTGTGTTGAAAAGAATTGGACGAGGAATCCCAAACGAAATCGCGCGCGCAAGCTGCAAAAAAGGAGTCGAAGGGGGAGGTTAGGTATCCGAGAGAAGAAGAAGAAGAGAAAACGAATGAACGACGAATCGATTGGGCAAACGTACTTCGCATGTACGTTCGGGGAAGAACTAATAAGAGAGAAGGAGAAAGAAGAGAAAAAAGTGGGGGGAGGGAGGAAAAAAAAATAGTAATTTAGTTAGTAAAACATAAAGCCACGTTGGTGGCCGGAGAAGGAAGGCAAACACATTAAACATTTAGAGGGCATAATAACCCGTGGCATACGTAATACGGCTGGCGCCCTTTTCACCGATGGCTATGAATAATGTACATACGCCAAGGTATGACGTAGGCTCGCCGAGCTATGTGTATTTCACGGTGGGGTAGATCGACCAGACTATTTCCAATAACCGCCGCGTAACGTTATCGCGAGGCCCGTATTCGCGAGAACCTGGAGAACCCTTTTGTGTCGTATTCCTCCTTCTCCCTCCTCCACCTTCGTAGCCGCCCCCGTTTCGACTACTTTCTTCCGAAACCGAAACCGCCAACCGCTTTTTCAACAACCCCCTTCTATCTCTATTTCCTCAGAATCGTCGACTCTCTCTGATATCCTCTTCTTCTTTTCTCTCCTTCTCTTTGGTTCGAATAAGTTGGTATTTAGTGAGAAATTTTTCGAGAAAAAGAGATTTTCTTCTAACGCGTGATAATGATTTGATACTTGGGAGGCGACACGTGGCAGAAAGAGAGAGAGAGAGAGAGAGAGGAAACGAGTGTGCATTGGAAGTTGCAAAATTGCGAGTACACAATAATTAAAGGTAGATTTGCGTCATTTGTTTACCTGTATTTCAATAAAAATTCAAATCTCGTTTGTAACGTTTACGACAGATGTGAAAACCTTTCTGGTTTTCAGATGATGTGAGATTAGACGTGTTGGAAAAGAATTTTATAGCATGTTGACCCGCGTAACGAGCGGGTAATCGGTCCAACTGCTTCGTTTCGATGTTTATTAATCGATAAAGATTAGCGATTATCGCGATTATTGAAACTTTGGAAAACATTGGAAGGATCCACGTATTGAACTTGACATCGAGTGCTCGATGCTGTGGGTACATATTACATCAGCTCGTGAGCTCAATGTCAATTTGAAAAGGCATAATTTCAATAGAAAAAAAAAATAACAATATTTACCCGTTGGGGATATAGTTAAAAAAAAAAAAAAAAAAAAAAAAACTATTTTCAATCCATCGATTCTTGCATTACGCGAGGATTATATTTTCTTTTCTAATTCTCACGCACGCAAATTTCTTTTAGCCCTTACCCAATTCATTTTAAAGTTAATTATATATATCCTACTTTTCAAAGATCGAAGAGATTTGATAGAGGAGAAGAGAAGGAACGTCGCTTTCGCTGTGCGTAATCAGGTATTGTCACGATGCAAAAGAATTTCTTCAGCATTTCCTAACGGCGATTCTTTATCGAGATTGTATATATATTATCTTCATTCCAATCCATCGTTATAAATCATAACCATCGAGATTCGAATATATAATAATAATAAAAATAATTATCACTCGTGGATATCACTGTTAGCGCCTTCAATAAATAATAAATCATTGCTATTATCATTTATCTATTATTCGTATACGTGTATACAACAGGCTTTCATCGAAAATCTATCCCTCGATTCGAACAGAACCTTCTTCAAGATCTCCTCTTCCGATGCATAGAATCTGATTGATTTCAAATTGTTCGTTCTAAGCGATTATACATCGATATACTGTTAAATAAAATTCGATGTAACGATAACGCGAAAATATCTCGCGATTGAATAAAAATACAATAAAATCGATCGAATTAATTGAGAGAAAAATTCTTTCCGGGCGACCGGTTTTTCAACATAATTAATCCGGACGAGAGAAGAAATCAAATTTCCCGATAAACGAGCCACCGATGCGTTTAATTACACAGCTCGAAAGAAGGGCGCGTTATAAAAAAAAAAAAAGAGAAAAGGACTGAATATATGCCAAATATTAAAACACGTATCCCCACGAGAGCGAAGAAAAAAATAATTCATAAATCGGAATTAATTTAAACGCAGCCCGTTTCGAATACAAAACTTGGAGAGTTGCGAAGGAAAACGGCGATTTCCCGAAACGCGAGATTGCCGATCGATCTCGATCGGTAAATGTGACATTTGCGGAGGTTCGAGTTTCCGGGAAGCGGGGAAAGAAAGAAAGACGTTTATTCCGAGCGCGACGCGGCCCAACCCGTCCATGGAATACAACATGGGTTGCGTTGTTGTTTTCACCGGCGGACAATACGAGCGGAATTCCACGGTAGTTTAAACAAATCGCTCGATCGCGCGATTATTATTGAAAATCGCGGCCGAGGATGTTGTTCAAACAACGAGGCGGCCACTTCGCGGGAACAGGGAGCTTCGAACGAGAACGAAGAAAGATTCGTATGTGTTCGAATCCGCGGTCGCCAAAATTCGAAGATTACAGGTCCATCATCGATCTTTTCTCCCCAATCGAATAAATAAACGATATCTTAATTATTTTTCTTCCTCTCGCTCGAATACGAACGAACTCTGCTCTCGCACGCGATTGGCACGCGAAAGATCCATCGTTTCGCGAGTTCCACTGAAGAGGAAGCGTAGAGAAATAAATCGAAATTCGCGTCGAATCGCGGCCGACATCGTGTCTTTCGATTCGACCGCCCCGTTGACACGGGCTGGTCGTCTCGTTTCACCGAGAGAACGGCCGAAACCTGTCAAAAGTGTAGAATGTAACC